GATTTTTTTTCCAACACTTGTGGCAGCAACTGTCAAAGCACAAATTTTTCATGCTTTTTTTGTTCAGAGAAAATTATTTGTGGTCAGGGTCACCTTTCCATCTTTCCAAAAAAAGACATTTAATAATGAGCTTTGCTTCTTGACCTCTTTCCCCTCTGTCTAGGTATCTATTCCATGCCTAGATTTAAGACTTGTCATACTGTCCTCCAGCAGTTTCAGAGCTTCACTTCTAATGTGCTCCGAGCTTCACATGGAGTTGAAGGCCAAGATAATTTCACAGTACTCAACACTAGCTGGCTAGAATTACAAACTTGGTATCATTCTCAAGGATTAGCTTGCTTCCTAAGCTTCAGTATTTATATAATGCTTCACAATATGACAGAAATCCATCCCCTATCATTACAGCTTTATTGAGGATCTCCAAAGCAAAGACCGGATATGTGCTTGTATTTTGCATCCGCATGAAATTAGGAGGCTTGTTATCTTAAAGTACTAGCATCCACACACTAGAAAAGTCCTTTTTACCTGCTACAGCCTTACAAGACTAGTCTCACCACTCTGCATTTTGCTGGCCCATGCTGGCTTTCACGATTTCCCTTTGCTTCTACTCTACATGAGAATTCTTGATTTAGGAGCCCGCTTCCTGTTTACTTTCCAAGAAAAATCCTCTTGCATATGTAAAACTTCTGCTATGGCTAATTAATCATCAGGAATAAGGAGGGGAAAATATATAGGCAGCCATGGAAATCCGTGCTCTTATACCAGATGAAAATTTATAGTCCTATTCGTAATATATTGTGGAGTGACGAAATAGGCAAATAACTTGCAAACGGAAAGAAGTACTTCCAAGAGGAATCACATCTGAGAATTCAGACATACCTGGAGAAACCGTGAGTTTGGTTCCAGCTCCAAATGTAAGTTTGCCATAACTCATTGTATTACACTGTGACACTATGCTTTGCAAAATGGTGCACTGGTATGCACATGGGCTGGACTAACATTTGAGAACATGGCAATGCAAGATTCTTAATTGGAATAATCTAACCAACGTTGTTGGCCACCTCCTCAGCACATATAGTAAACATTTCATTCAGCCACATTCCTCTGCCTGCTTAATCATTCCTGACACCTACTACTCTAGCTGTTGTCCACCACCTAGTCAGTCATCTGTTTATTCTTTCCTCTGTCTCCACACAACAGCAGCATCTGTCAAACAGTGTGTGCATATACAACTTCCCAGACAGTGTTCAGAAGCTTTCTGACACCTCCTTTTGAGTTTCAACAGTCTGTGTTACCTTCCTTCTCTGTTCCCTTGCAATTCCTATGCAGGCTGCACTTCATGTTGTATTAATACTTGCTGGGTTCCGCTCTGAAGGGGGATGCCAGTATCAAACCTGAGCTTGTATCATGCCCTAAAGTCTGCACAGTGGTTCAGCATGCAACAGAAATCTCCCTTCCATCGTCTCCAGAACTAGGACTTCCACAGCAGATCAAGTTCAGCAGTGATGTCTATACAGCTATATACACACAGGCAAGCACACTCTAAGTGCAATATATAGTCAATTTTCCATTGCCAAGAGCAACAGAGAACCTGGGAATTTTGGCTGGGGCCAGAACTAAGGGGCACCCCTCAAACCTCCTCCTCCCGTCCCCACAGTGCCTCCACACTGTCCCCTCGGCTGCGTTAGAGTGGGAAAACTCTACCAAGGTGAGACAAAACCAGTCTGATGGTGCATGTTCCCTGGAGCTCAGAGAGCCTGAAAAGCCTCAGGCACTCCTGCCTCGGTGAGCAAGCACTTACTGGGCATCACACGGAGCCTTGTCCCACTCCCAAAGGTGCCTTTGCGGTAAGCACCATTGCTCACACACTGCTTCCCGCTGGAACACAAACCCCGCTGGGACGCAGTGACATAGCAGAGCCAAAGGACCATTGGAACAAGCTCAGTATGGACGGGACCAGGTTGCCAAATCTCTCTGGAGTATCAGTTCTTTATGACGCACACACCCATTATATGTGCAGGTAGAAGGGAGGAATGGGAACAGGCACGTAAAGAAACTTTGACGCTGTAACAGACCACACCGGAGCACAAGGCAATGGGACATGCAGGAAAACCAAGTCCTAGGGTCACCTGGAAAACTGCACAGTTCGGTTCCCAAAATTGTTTCCCTCAAAACAACTAAGAGCAAGGCAAAAATGAAGTCATTCCAGTTTCCAGGACAAGTTGCTCCTTACCTGGTATGACCGAAAGCACCGTTCCTTTTCCAAAAGTGACTTTGCCTACACCATTCACACTCCGACACATTTCATTACAAAAATGTCTCTGTCAGCCCTGCACATGGTCTCAAACACAAAGCGCCTGCATTCAGGCCACAGCAAAGCTCCCTGACACAACAGGCTCAAGTCCAGTCTCATATACCTGGAACAATGCAAAATCTATTCCCTAGATCACTTGCACTTTTCAGAAAAGCATTTCCCTTTGCCTTTCCTAATTTTTAAGACCCACATGTGACAACTGCCACCCATGGTACCACTTGTCCAGAATCAGGGTGACCATGCATCCAAAAAGCCTGCTTATGTGCAGGGAACCCATGGAAATTCATGAGGTTTGGTCATCTGTGGGTTTCAAAGGCTACTGTGAAATGACCTGTCAGGGCCACCTCAATGCCGTACAAGCAATTGTTTAAAGACAGGAATAACTGAAGCCTCGACATGGAGATATCTGGAAGAAGACAAGGAATGCCTCTGTTTCACTGTTCAGTTCCCCAAATCGTCACCACTAAACAATAAGGAAGAAGAGAAAAATGAAGCAATTCCAGTTTCCAGTGTAATTGGCCGCTTACAGGCTACAACTGGAAGTAGCATTCCTTTTCCAAAAGTGACTTTCTCTGACCACACACATTCTGACACAGTTTATTAAAAAAATGTCCCTGTTAGCCCTGCAAATGACCTTCTACAAAAAGCTATGCAAATCGCTCTGATGCAACAGGCTCCAAGGCAGTGCTGCTACCCAGAACACGGAGAAATCTGTTCCTGAAACTGTGTTTCAGGTGAAGGTGCTCTTCCAGGTAGGAGGGTTTCTGCATGTCCACCATCTCAGAAACTCCCCTGATGGTTTACATTGTCTTCATTAGACAAATGAGCACCTATGTTCTCATTCCCATCTGTAACGTGACCCAAATACAACAAGATTATCTACAAGGCATGACAGTGGACACTCAAGGATTTTTGACAGAGGACACACAGGAAAGCTACACACTCACTGGGTTGGACAGACAGTCTGGTCCCTGAGCCAAAGGTCAGCTTGCCATAGCTGGAGCCAATGTCACACAGCATTTCCTTCCATAACAAAAAGTCCAGCAAGGCACTTCAAGAAGCAGCACCTCTCCCCACATCTTTGCCCAGCCGTGCCTAGGCTAGGAGGGGCAGCAGAAGGGTGACTGTGCTTCCCAGTGCAGCACAAACCCCACTAGGATGCAGTGGCACAGGACAGCCTCCCCACGGGGCAGCTGGGACGTTTGGGAGCAGGCGTGTGGCCACTTTCTCCACCCCAGGCAAACTGAGTGAGCAAGAAGGGTTGTTTTGGACCAACCTGGCACAATCACCGTTGGACCTACGGGTACAAACCCCATTTGCAACGACTGCTGCTTCTGCCCTGAGCCAAAGCCTGTCCTGAAGGAAAGCAGGCGGCATGTAACTCCATAGCTGAAGAGCCACAATCTCAAGAAGAGAGCTGCTGGAGAGCTCGCTGCCCACTGGGCTGGGAACAAGCCTGATCCAATCAGATAAAGGCAAGTGCTCAGGGAGCTGGAAAGGGACGACTGGGATAACAAGAAAAACTCCCAGCCTGGTGGCAGTTGTACTCACTGGCCTTCACAACCAGGCGTGTCCCTGTCCCCAGTGTCGGTCTGTGGTTCCCTGTGTTCACACAGTCCTTCACACTCCAGCAAAACCCATCAGCTCTCGTGCCTGTTACTCTACAACTAATCTCCAGGAGATCAGCTCCTTCCCATCAACACCAGGCATTTGAAGCCAGGTATAACCGTAGCCTTGGCAAGGAGGGATCTGGAAGACAACAAGGAACACCTGGGTTTGCACCGTGGGCAGGTCTGATGAGTGTCCGGTGGAGAAGCGGGTCACTTCTGGACACCTGTTCCCTGGTCATCCAAATAGCCTGAGCTGTTGCCAGCACCAAGGAAGTCCTATCTGTGTCCCCTGAGCTAGCCACCTTTCTGGGCAAGAGGAATCTGCCAACCTGGAGTTGAACTGCTCTTTGGGTGACTTCGGACAGAGCCCATGTGCTTGCGGTTGAATCAATGTGCTGCCTAATTTTAGAGCAGCAGAAAGTATGGCTCTTCTGTATGAAAGGCAGGAAAGCAATCGCCCGCTTCAGCTGAAACAGTTACAGCCCATGCACTTTCAACTCTTAGCACTGCAGTAATGCAACACGAGTTGAAGAGCTACCAACAGTAATCTCTTGGGAATCTCATCTACAGGAGGGATGACAACTAGGATTCTGGTGCAAACAAGAGCATTATTAATTTGGTCTTTCTTCAGCAGAGCAAAGGACAACCACTCAGGGCTGTGCTAGACAGAGCCATCAGCAAGCCACCCCAATTTTTGCAAGTATGGATGGCCATGGCACAGAAAGCCTCTCCCTGAGCAAGAGGGTTCAGGACCCTGGTCTGCTTATGTGAAAGGCAGAGAGCGGGAGGTAGCAGGAGTAAGCAGGAGGGGTAAATTCACAGTTTTGTTGAATCAAGGTCCTTGCTGCTACCAGAGAAAGCAGAGCAAAAAGCCCCACAGATTGACTCAGTCTCCCTCCACTTCAGTTAGGCTAGTTCATGACCACAAAACTGTTCCACCAAGTGGAGCAAGAAAAGGCTTTAAAACTTACTGGGATTTATCCTTAGCTGAGTTCCGCCTCCAAAGACGACTTTGTTGCCATAATTAGACACAGTGTTTGCCTTCACAACAAAAACCCTCTAAGTCACCTACCCCCTGCACCAGCTTATTCCTTCCAAAGCTGGGTACTTCTTTTACAACAGTCACAGCTGGGCAACCCTTTCAGCTCTGACAGAGATGACACCTGAGTGCACCCTTGTCCCACGTAGAGAAAAGATGCAGGATTATGATCACAACTCCTCTCTCAGCCCTAAGAAATTGGTCCTAAAAGCTGAGATCTTCCCCTGGACTCCCCTGCAAACACTCCACACCTTCAAAAAGTCTTTCTTGGTGCTGGCTGCTATATCTCACACACACACACACATAAACAATATCCCTGTGCAGACCAGTTTCCAACACAGCTCAGCTGGTTTTTTTTCCTATCCTTACTCCTTCAGGCTGGGTTTCTACCTACCAGGTTTCACCATCAGTTGTGTCCCACTCCCAAAGACAACTTTCCAGGTGTATGTTGAAATCACACAGTGATACATCCACTAACAAAAACCGCACACAAGTTTTACTCCAGAAAACAGTACAAGATTTCCCATAGAGATCAAGGGGGGAAAACAAGATGCTCCTTCAGGGCTCACTGAGAGCCAGCTAACACAGAGCTGCTTACTGAGTTTCACAGAAAGTCTGCTTCCATGCCCAGAGTTGAGCTTGCCAAAACAGGCCAGCTTTAGAAAGGAAACCCTGTCACCTGCAGAAGAGGCTGACTTTTGTCTTTCCCGGCAGAACATGGAAAAAAACGGGGAAAGACAAGGGAAATCACTAATTCCTGAGCTATGACAGCATCCTTCCCCACACATCAGGCTAACACACAGCTGCTCTTCCTCCAGCAGTGCCCTTGCCCACAAGGGTTGCATGCTGCCTTTGAGCCCCTTCAGGAGCAGCCAGCGCTGCCCAGGACACGTCTGTTGAGACATATGCATTTCTCTCAATCTCACAGCACTTACATGTCTTTGTAAAGAGCTTTCCCCCCTTCCCAAAGACAAACCTTCTGCCCTGCCCCCTCTCCTCCCACAGCAGTTCACAGCTTTGCCATTCCCAGAGAGAGGGCCAGGGTTGTGCACGCTTACAGGAAGGCTTCCCAAAATTTACACCCTGACATTATTGCCTTGGACATTTCTGCATTGCCCCGCAAGGCTAAAAAGTAGCTTTGAGAGTACTCACGAGACTTCACACTTAGCTTTGTCCCAGCTCCAAGGGAGTACCTGTTCCCACCAGCACTTGCAGCAACAAAAGCCATTACACAAAAGCTCTCATCTCCCCATAGCAAGGAAGCCATTAGTGTGGCTGACAAGGACCTTCCCAGCAAGGCACGGGAGACACTTTTCAAATATCACACAGAGTTCAATTTTTGCTTGAAGATTTACTCCATCCAACCACAACCTCATTAAAGACTGCACTGAAGGCATTCTCAGAGCCTGTGATGGGAGAGGAGGCATTTCAGGTGTGCAAAGGAAAAAAAAAA